TGACATCGATATTGCTTTAAAATTTTTAATATAATATTTTTTTAATGTTATTTATAACAGTATTTTCTTTTATAGATTATGAAAATGGAGAATGTTAATATTGGATAAAGATGCATTCATACACTCACACCACACCCTCCGTTACACACTTCAATTTTTGTTACTTTACCGTTAATTACACTTAATTCCATTACCATCTCTTCAGTCATCTCCCAACTCACCCACCATTTTCTGTCTGGTGTTTTTAGCTGCCAAACTCTTCTCCATTCCCGAAACCAGATTTGCTTCACTTTTTTTTTTTTTTGGGGGGCTGCTTGGCGATGACGATGAGGATGGTGGTGGGGGCTGCTTGGCGATGACGATGAGGATGGTGGTGATAGAAAACAGAGGGATCTATGGTTCTACCCCTCTCCTTCTATTTTGGTGGTGATTGAGGATGGTGATGGTGGTGGAGGTTGTGATGATGATGAGATGCAAGGAGATGGTCTAGATCTACAGAAGGGAGAAGAATCGAGAGAGAAGAAGAGGTGGGTTCTCGGAGAACCCAGAACCCAAACCGAGACAGAGAGGAAAAAAAAAAGGGGTCGGGGTTCTCGGAGGACCCAGGAGAAAAAAAAAAAGAAAGAAGGTGGGAACATGGTGAGAGTGAAATGGAGACTAACAGAGAGTGTGAAAGTTAACGGAAAAAGGAGTGTGTAATGGGAGTGTGGTACGAATGTGTGTATTAATCATGGTTCGTTAATATTACATCAAATGAATGTGAAGAATAAGTTGATACCGGTTTAGTTTTACTTTTATTTTTATATTTTATTAAAAATAGTTGATTTAACTTTTTTTATGTATTTTTATTTTAAATTTTAATTATATATTATTGTTATTTTAAGATTCTACTCTTGTGAGGAAAAGTGGACGTAGTCTATTAAAAAAATCTGACTTTAAAGAAGAAGACAGAGAAAGGTCAACATTTTGACCTTCAATTTCCTCTTGAATTTAAAAAGGTGTGTGGAGAAGATGCAGCACTTCTCAAAATTGAAATTGGCATATTTATTAGACATTTTGCAAAGCCTTGTTTGAGTTGGAGCAAGCTTGAAGAGAATGTTAAAAACATTATATGGACATTTTTAAACGTAATACCTCTTTTTAACTATAAATTACGTATTATTCTTTATTTTTTTAGTAAAAGAGTAGATAAAAATTAATAATGATACTTACTGTTCACCCTGTTCATTTGCAAAATAGTTTCTGGATTCCTAAAATCCACCTATTAATCTCACAAACCAATGTTCCTCTTTCTGCTTTCATCCAGCTAAACATAAATAACTTCTTAAACCTAATTAATCTCGGCCTTGGGCATTTTGATCCCCTTTAAATGCATATATATTCCTATGCAATTTTATATTTCATACAGTAGTAAAATAAAGAAGGGGTTATTTTACTCTCATGTTTTAAGGTAGTGTTATTTTTATTTTGTTAGATAAATATATTAAAAGTTAATTTGTAATTTTTCATTAAATGATTCTAATGAATTTAATTTTGTATTAATTTTTCAACGTAAATTCAAGTTAGATGAGAATGTCCGCAGTATTGTGATGAAACAATGCTAAACTCAGTTCAAGGCACAATATAATAAATTATATAAAGAATATCATACAAAAAAATTTATTCAAATCATGTTGAAGAGACTGAGTGGAATTGGTTAATTCAAAACAAATGGGAAACTGACAAATTCAAGGAATGTTAATATCTAACTATTTCATTTTTAATTTTAAATATTTAAATATTATTTATTTCTTTTTACTCTATTATTTTGTAAATCATAGTATTTTAATCTTATGTATTAAATTGCAAGACAACAGTAATAAAAATAGTCTTAATAGAATTAAGGTTTAAATCCCATTCACTACTCACACAAAATCAATTATCCAAATTGTTCACGAACTAGTAATTATTAATTTGTAAATTTACAGTAAGTAATAGTTTTGTATATATGTTGATTATAGTATAAATTTTGATTGATTTCATTTCATTGTCATAATAGAAAGAAGGGCCAGAAACAAAAACATTGCCTTATACTTCAAAAGTATGGGAAGTGAGAGGATTAAATGCAAACAAGTAGTGGAAAGTTCCTGATGATGAAAGAATTTTGGTAATTATTTGTATCATTTTTATATATTCATTTGCTATTTTTTTATAATAATTTATTTATTTTTTCTATAGGAACAATTTTAAATTGTTGGAGTGGAAAATGCTGAAGAGATTTCTTTAGCTCCTATTCCATTCATAGAACATTTTAAATAGGGGTTGGGATGACTAAAAGGAGGATATGCCCAAGGTCTTGGAATAGGGGGACTTTCAAATCGCTATATGGAACAATAATTAATTAAAGCATGTGAAGAACAAGCAACAAAATGTGTTGATGATTTGGAGAAGAGGATTTCAAATTTGGGTGAAAGTATAAAAATGCAAGACGATTTAATTAACTAGTTACACAATTTGATTGAAGATTTGC